GGTGTCCTCCATTTTCAAAGTTTGTCCCAGATACTTGTAACTGCTCACTCTCTCTAACGTTCGACCTTCTATCTCGATGTTTTCATCTGTGTCATAATTAGTCATATATTTAGTTTTCTCTTTGTGCATAATTAGGCCAATACGTTTGCTCTCCCTGTTGAGACCTGTCAGCTGGTCTTCCAAGTCTTTGGTTGATGTTGAGATCAAGGCCACATCATCAGCAAATCTTAGATCAGTAAGCGTTTCCCCATCAATGTTTATTCCTCCATTTAAATGGGACTTTTTAAATACTTCCTCTATAGTGGCTGTGAATATCTTTGGAGATAATGTGTCTCCCTGTCGGACTCCCCTTATTTTAGTTTATACTATCCCACGCTTCAAATATCCAAAATCACTGTACATCTTTACTTTATCGGACACAATGATCCGATGGTTCGAAATAAGCCGGGATAGAGCTAATCAATGCCAAAGATGTGTTCGCATTTTACACACAGAGGCGATTTTGTGTCCAAACATGCCGTATAATCGGCATCATATCAAAAGGTTTGAAGACACACTCTCAGTACATAACCCGTCAATATTTTTGGAAATTCAAGTCGAATGGATTATAGCCCTCTTCTGTAAACTGATACCATGTTTAGTATGATTTCGCAACCATGGATTGAGCAGTACATAAGAATAAGTGGCAGGGTCAAAAGCGAAAAGTTGCCAAATATACTGGTAAGCACCGCTATTGTTATGCAGATCACTCTTTATCAAATATCGTGACATATTAAGAGTGTAATTGTTGTTGTTCATGACAGTGAGGCTATTTTCCCAACTGGTCATCCATGAATGCCAAATTCTAAAGAATCTGGAATTAAAATGTATGCACTATGGTGACATGTCAGGCAAGATTCGTAACTGATTGGTCATCAACTTTCTGAATCATCATGCCTAGGTTAATAACTGTTGAAAAAACCCGGGAAATAGGGCAATATGAATGCACAGTCGAACAAGGGCAGCGCATTTTGCAACTTCTTACTTTTTATTTGCCCCCCTTTTTTGATCGACTGCACATTCCATGAATGAAAAGTCATTATAAATGGTGTATCATTTAACAAATAAATAAAACCGCTTTTTACCCAGACTAATCTAAGCGATGATTATGCCAGGACAAGAGATATTTAATTGATCATGCTTTCCATACTTTGTTGAAGGCTTTCATGTATAAATCCAAGTTTTTAAAAAGCATTTAAATTTATATATATTTAGTAACTTACATGCTTTATTTTTAGCCCCATATTTTTTTAACACAAATTTGGTCGATTTATCCGTCAACATAATTGGTTTTAACAAATCATAGGCCGAATATAGGAATCATAATCAAAGAAATACAAAGTATTTTAAAGAAACATACGTTTATTTGGTACAAGCTTTCATAATATTAAATTGATTGCTGTTAACAAAATCACTACCTCTGGCCATTTGCAAACGTTCAGCCATGAAGTTGCTACCATGCTCAATTATGTTATTGTTGTTGTCGCTTTGTTTTTAAAAGACCCTGATAAGATGAAACATATGTAATACCACCACTATTGTGATACATTTCTATAATATCATTGTGACAAATATCACTATTATGCATTCTCTTTGAAAAGAAAACTGACAACAATAAACAACAACGCCACCACCACCAGCAGCACCATTATCATCATCATTATCAAGACCACCATCATCATCATTATCAACATCATCAGCAGCAGCATCAACTACCAAATGATGTCACTGAATAAAATCAAAATAGCTTCTTATTCATGAACCAGATCTGATAAGTCTCCGAGGAAGACACGCTGTATTCCAAATAGCTGCATGCATTGATATAACTTATTGATTTGAGGTTACTGATGCATATTTATGAGTGACATGGTAGTCTTCAGGCGCCATCTCCATTTGAACACTCACAGTAACACGGCTGTAAAGACTTTCAAGTTTTCTACCGATAGACAGTCTCCGTACCCTACTGTATTGCATATATAACCACGTTTGGACTACGTCACTCCTCATTTCCACAGATATGATGTTCCAGTGCTACATTCTATTGACGGCATTCTGAAGTCTTTCGTAAGAAGATCTTACGATTCGTTGTATATTTTGCCGGGTTTCAAACAAAGCGCTGCATATTTTGCATAAAATGTGTACGTTTACCTACCAGCACCTTACGAACGCCTTACAAACGCCAGGTGTCGTTCGTACGAAGGCTATACGAAGTTCCGTTCGAAAGGCGTTCTTAAGGACGCCGTAAGAGCCCTTTATGAAGAGCTTTAGGCGTTTTAACGATCATCGTAAGAAATTTGAAGCTTTTAGAATTGTCTCTAGAACCTACGGAATGTACGATGATCTTGCGTGGTTCTTACGATGTTATTACGACGTTCGTACGGCCGCCTTATGAAGAGAGGGTTTCGTACGAGGTTGAACAAAATCTTGGAAAAGACCATCGACCAGTCTGCGAACATACGAGCGATCTACGAACGGTCTACGAACGGTCTACGAACGCTGGTTTCGTACAGCCCTCTGATCAGTTCATAATGGTATTTGTGACCGAAGCTTTAGATCGAGTAAAAGACATACGGCGTAGTTTACGTACAGAATGTGCACAATTTAAAAGAAGTGTGAAAAACGATTTTAAAAAAATTATTTGAAAGAAAGGATAGAAATAATTAGGTAAAGCCTCGGTCACAAATGCCATTACGAACTGCTACGAACGCCGTACGAACGATTTTCAGACATTGGAAATTCGGGAAGACAATGGAAAAACAGGGACATTCGTACGAACCTTTGTGACCGTAGCATAACAAAGGAAATAAACTCCAACAAAAATTCATAATATTTGATCAATACACTGGAAATATGCGCAAATGGTAGTGTGCGTTCATATATTTGATTTTAATTATTACTTTTCATTGCACAGGTAAGCATGTATACAAAAATAAACACATTTTTAAAAAGTATCATTTGTTGGTATTCTGACCGTACATTGATCAAAATAATAGCAAGCCTCTTCTTCATGAAAGGCTATGTAATGTATAACATTAAGATTATGAACGAAACAAAATTAATGAACAAGTAATTTGGAGAGAAAGGGGGGGGGGGCGTGAATTTAGTGTACATAATTTACAATTGCCCTCCGGCAGTCAATAACCCATTAAAGTATGATTAGCAGCAATTGGATGACATACCAGAAAAATGAACTCACAGAGGCAGTTGCAATATAACAACTTTGTAGACATTTGAATCATCATGCAAAGCAATTCCTGATTTATTCAACGAAAACTGACAAAATAGCTAGGGGGCTGATGATTTTTTTTTCAAAGGATAACTAGGTTCTTTACTTGTAATTCGTTATGCATCTACCTTATCAAGGCAAAGAACAATCATTGTTTATGGTAGATCCACATCTTTTTGGTTAAGGAGGGGAGGGGGTAACGCCTGCTCCAATTAATTCAGAAGGTGGGGAAGAAAATTGTGAAATGACGATGTTCCGATCAAAAAGAGGGCGGCAAATAGGGAACAAAACTCCAAATAATTTTTCAAAATGGTTCCAGGAAGGAAAAAAATTAAAAATTGCCAATTTATCGTCACATCTTGATGATGATACCTTTTTTGGCTCCAGTGATTAACATTTTAACATGCCAAACGACGCCCTGGGTGCGAAATAGGTAATATGTATGACCACTTCCTAAACCTTGAGGCGTGGCTTCGATATAAAGTCACACGTGCTCGAAATTAGCAATATTTGTCAGGCTGAGAGTGTCAAGAGAAAATTTTAAAAAAAGTACTGTTAAAGATACTATGTCCCTTTTGCAGCTAACATCAAATTCTGAAGAACTTTGCAGGAACAATGAATATGTCATATATGTCCTATCTGGGAAATTTAGCCATTACCAACGGTCCTAGTATTCATATTGTGCAAAGAAACCCATTTACCTTCTAGACTTCTCTATCAGACAGTATTGAGTGACTGACTGACAGACTTGTTTTTTTGCTGTTGGTAATAACATAATATATAAAATGAGCTATAAAAGGTATATGAGCATTTGTCTACATCAATATTAAATCCTCTACTTGTAACGGCCAAAATTAAACTGATTGAATCTTAGTGCAGCACAAAACGTACGACCATTTGGTAGAAGGGTCTAAAAATCAGACTAGTGATTACTTAGGTGATTGCAATCACTTAAGTCGATTCGACAACTAATGGTCGTTATTTCACACTAAAAGCCATTTTAAAGCCCTTTCCTTTTGAGAGAAGTTCTAAATTAGTATTGTCTTTCAAATGCCGTTGGAATTTCACCTTTTCGTTTTTTGGCCTGCAAATGGGACATAGTACCTTTAAAGGAATGGGTCATGGAAGGTGCATCTATTTCTATTTTACAACAAATATAAACGTAATGTCAAATTTCACCCATAAAGATAAGCTGATTTAAGTTTTATCTGTCAACTTCAATGATAGCGGATATATAAAATATAAAATCGTCTCTGATATGCTCTTGACGAAGAGGTAAACTCGGATCAACCTTAGCTACGTATTTACATGATATCGTATTACATCATTAATGAGTTTCGAGGGCTTATGTAAGAAGATTCCTTGAAAATATTCCTTGAATGCTCGAAAGATGAGACTCAAGGATCACTCCATGCTGTTCGTGCAATATGTCTCGCTCTCTGTCATGATTTATTATTGGTTGCTAAAAATAAGACCAAACTAACTTCCAATGACGGTTTTCTGTCGATTTGTATTTCAAAAGAATAATCATAATAATGTAAAAGAATGTTTCCATGAAGTCCATTGAAATCGTAAAATCTAACAATGTATAGGACCGATACAACACTGACTTCCGCCACACTTCTTGAATGGCAGAAAAAGGAATAAGAAAGAAAATCCTGAGTTCGGATGTTCCTATCGTCAAAATACCCGAATGATATAGCAGAAAAAAGATGTACATACATGTAATCCAAAATGTATAAAATACCGAGAAATTCAAATACATATTCACGAACCGCTAAAAGTTGATATTGATTAGATATTTCGTCGGTAAATTAAGAAATTGAACATCGCATGCTCTGTCCTCTCATGTAGTTGATTTAATTTTTGAAATTCTATACATTGAAATCGTCTTTTGTTTTTAATATATACCCCATTATTTTTGTTTTGCCTGGCTCGAAATCAAGAGCGGCGAGATCGACAGGACACTAGACTGACCATGTCGGTCTTTTCAACCTTCTGAAATGATTTCTGAATGTTTACCAGGCCAACGGTCAGGGGGGCTGACATTTCGGTCCTGTGGGCATTGTGATAAATTATTCTGAGGGTTCACGAGACCAGTATAGTCAGTTTTATGAGCTGACGGCCTGATGGAATGCCAAAGTTTGTGTCTTTTTTATGCACTGTTTTTGGTTATTGGAATGGATAGTATTTGCACACGTTCATCAAATATAATTAAGCACAGCCCATCACATAGTTACTTTTTTAAAAAGTAACCGTCGATGCAACTGCTCCCGAATGACTAGTATTTTGCAAATATATATATATCACAAATTGGTAGGCTTGAAACATGACCATATTACGTCTAACATTACGGATACGATGGCGTTATACAAAATGATATTAATGTGACAATTTCGATATGGATTAAGTCTTTTGAATAAACTATATGCTGTACAAATTGAGATTGTTTCTACTCTTCCCAGAAGGTCCAGAAAGGCACATGTTATATATAGGCCGCTAAAGACGCTTAACCATGCTCTGTAACGATGATGAATAAAGTATCAAAACGAGTTTATCCTGTGCTAGACGAACTTGTATCGGGTGCATTCAACTGCACCCGACGAAGGGTTCATAGGACCGCGTGCCCGTTGTGGACATGGCCGATTCTTTTGGCGGCCGCTAGTTGCACATGGACAGGGGTGTAGGTCCGCCTAGAACGACTGCTACATATCCGCTTCCACATGTTGTACCTTCTGGGTAGAAGGGTGTAGAGGAAAGGGTTGACGCAGGAGTTTAGGTAGGACAGGACCAATGTGACCAGTCCCATAATGTTATTGGAATCAAAGTTCACGTTTCTTAAGATGATGAGCTGGTAGGTCCAGAAAGGGATGTAACAAAGCCAGAAGATGAACACGATGACGAAGATGATTTGGGCCACCTTGCGTTTGGATCGCTTGGTCCGACGATTGGCCGAATGTGCAGGACTGACCAGGTTGAGGAAATGGAACAGGAGGAGTACGTAAACCGTGGCGGTGATGACTGAAGGTATGAGGAATGTGATGAGAAAGATAGCGAGCATGTAGTTGGGCAGAGAACGATCAGCATCCAGCGTCCATGTGCAGGAATACTTATCCCTATCCTCAACGTGTACCTCCGACATGTAAATAATCATGGGTAAAGTAACCACCAGACCTGTTAACCACACCGCCCCGCTGATCCGGCGGGCGAAGCCAACGCTCCGGTAACGCAATGAAATCATCGGGTGCACCACCGCGACATATCGCTCGACACTCATAATAGTGAGAATAAAAGTACTCACGTGCATGGTTAAGATATCCTGTCCCAAAATAAGTCTGCAACCGATATCACCGAACATCCATCCATTTTGGTTATAGTTCGTTAGCGTATAAAACAGGCAGCCGAAGATATAGAGCAAATCCGAAAAGGCAACATTGACAATATAAGTATTGATTGTGTTGACACTCACGCTGCACGTTGGTCGGAATGTTAGCAGAATAACAATGCTGTTTCCAAAGACACCAACAACAAAGATACATAGAAATCCAGCGACTAGGAATGAATTGAACATGACATCATCCTCGAAGTCCAGAGATGAGCTGTTCAATAACGAACCGTTGCTCGACACGTTCGGCAGGGTGTACATCCATGAATCCGCCATGGTTTATCTCATAAGTTGTTGTCCAAAAGTTAATGAAGTACGTTTCCTAAAGTTATTCCACTACAGAATTCGTCCAGGACACCCCGCTGGCAATCACACTTTCTGTCATCAATCGGATTTTTAAAAAACTACTCGTTTAGATTGAAAAAAAAAGTATCCAGGTGTATCCATCAAAGAAATTGAAACATGAATAGATATCAAGCGCTTTCTCCAAATGAAGCTGTGGAAACTTGATCTTTCAAGCACCAATCCTAAGACTGCAAACGTCCAAAGTCCAGATGCGGATCCCCAAAAGACTGAGTAGTTTTACATCTAATGTAGATATCGATCAGAACCTCCGGCTAGTATTCATTATCCTCAAGGGATGTAATTCGAATCCGCCACCGGTGAAATAGTAGAAGACGGCGATAAAAGCGTTGTTGCTTTTTTATTTCGTCAAATAATTACAGGGTAGTCCTGGTAGTCCCTTGATCGGAGATATTGTAAAGCCAATGCATGTCTAGAATACATACTTGATAGTCCACTTTCGGTTTTCCTCTTATGCTAATGTTCTCGATAAGTCAGAGCTAGTTCACTCACAGTTGAATATCAGTTGTCTTCAGTAGCTTGAATCATTTGGTACTCCAAAATTTGAAAGCAGAGTAACGCAATATCTGTCCGATGAAGGATTCTGTTTTAGTCCAATAGAAATATCCGTTGTTAGGAGAAAAGTTTAGGTTGAAAGTAGTCGTGTATTTCCGTTTTAATAGAAATGAGCATAGGCATCCCCTTTTCTATTTAACCTGAGCAACAAAAGTAGAGCATTTCCTGTTCAGTTCAGATGACGAATGCTCCTTGCGCTCTGAGGTTGCAGTGCTCTTGTTGTTTATAAACGTTGCATGTTCCGCAATTAAACTCTCTTTACGCCGAAGCTGGAGGGAAAACTTGCAGCCATCTCGAGCCGCTTAATCGCTATTCGTGACGCAAAAACAAGTGAAACACTGCTGCTGAACCGGTTAAAATCGATGCACTGAGAGCTGAAGCTCGGGCAGTGGCACTTCAATCGCCCTCTAAAGTTACTCTGGCGCTAGGAGAATCGTGACACATTGGAGATGTTCGTTAAATTGACGGGAGATGCGTCCAATCACAACGAAGCACATCGTGATGAAACCAGCTTGAGTGCGCGATTTGGATGTATACGCACACCACACCCCAACTCGTTTTATTGTGACGGCTAGCTTTTACCCGGTGGCGTTGTTTAGAATAAGACGTGAAGGCGATGAGTAAAGTGTGCGAAAATTTCGTGTACACAAGAATGTGGAGCGCTTTGTTAATGCATGAGTGGCCATTGCGTATACTTAGTCTATTGACAAGCAGAGACGGTGTACGGGCTCAAACTTATTGTTTGATGTGTACGTGTGTTTTAGGTCAGGGGCGGATTTAGGGGGGGGGGGGGTTCGGCGGTTTAACCCCCCCCCCCTTGGGCGGACGAGTGTGAAAAAAAGGTAAGCGGCGCGATTTTTGAAAAATCCTGGATCCGACACTAGGTCAACCCCCCCCCCCCCTCCTGGTAAAAAAAACTAGATCCGCCCTTGTTGGTGGAATATGTTTGTAACATACCATGGTGTAATGGTTTAATGGAGGAATTTCCGGACTATGGGTCACTAGGTACGGGGTTCAAATCCCCGCCGAAGCATTAATGTCTTTTGTCCAGAAATTAAGCTTCCTTTGCTACACTCAACCAAGAGTAGGGAGATTGCCATAATTAAAACCTGGGTAAAAATATTTGAGCGGTACCAGTGTTTATTATCAAGACAGACATGATCCTTAAAATACAGGAGCCCGCTTTCATTATTATCATATGATAACAGCTCATTCTCTCTCTCTTAATTGAACTGGATCTCACAGCGACTGTTGTCAGTGGCGTACCGTGGGTTAGTAATTGGGGGCACCATTTTTTTGTCTTCTAGATCAGCGTTTTTTTGACCCCCTGCTTTTTTTTTTATTCACGGGACACTCTTAGGAGGTATACAAAGACGCACGGGCACAATTTTGCGTGAAGCCCTTTTGTGAATCATACTTTTACTCCTATCTTAATTGGGTATCTTTGTCTCAGATTCTGAAACAAAATCCTGGATTTAGCTGATGCTGCAATGAAAATTATTAACCTTTAAGTCAGTCAAGAACCCCAAGACTTTTACAAGCAAATTGCCTGTCTGATTATCAAGATATTTATGATTGTAAATCGAAATTTCACAATTCGTTTTCCTAACGTTTTTTATAACATTATAGTCTTATAGGGAAAGTGAGTATGGTAAAGCCGGTCACTCAAAGGTTTTTACTTTTTTGAGGCACTTCCTGATCGTTTTGGAGTACGATTTTCGTATGGATCAATATCACACCATATCACAGACACTGATAACACGTAGGGCCATGCATCTCAGATTTAACATCGTTTAACAAAAACTAATAAAGATTAATAAAGACTAATCATGTTGTCCCCCCTTAACTAATTCACATATTATAATCTTTGAAGGGCGTTTTCGAGCCATCTACCTCCTTATATTATCTCACGTTCTTTTCCCCTTTCCTCCATCACTCCTTCTCTCTCTCTCTCTCTCTCTCTCTCTCTCTCTCACTTCATTTTTGTTTGCTATTCGATGGGGGGGGGGGGGGGGGGGAGGTTCTACGCCACTGCCTGTCGTGGATGTAAAAAGGCTTTGATAATATAACAATTCCCCATCTGTATAGCTCTCTCTGCACTTTTATTGATTTAATCTGTCCTTCACACATTTCCCTTCCCCCCCTTTTTTTTTGTTTCCTTTACTTTTCTAGTCGATGACACCCCCTCTCTTGTTCTCACCACATTATTTCTCTTTTCATTCTCCTTCCTATTATTTTTTTCTTTATTTTGTTCATGTTACCTCTAATTAGATTAAGCTTTGAAAACTTCTCTTTTAAACAAAGGTGATTGTGAAATGCCGTTTATTCACGAGTTATTCTCCCACTATGCCGTATTATTTACCATTTCAATACTAGAATAACGAATACTGACTTTTATTGAGTGTTTTGGGGGCAAATGTTTTGACTGTATGCGGTGAAAAAAGTAAAAATTAGCCGGGTCTTAAAAATAATCTTACATGAAAATAGTAAAAGTCGACATAATAGATTAGTTTTTTTTTATTCATGTCACATTTATCATTCCTGCATAATTGCTATTATTCCTTTCTTTTTAATTGGTTGTGCGAAAACGATAATTTTACTCAAAACGCTTTAAAAAAAAGTGAACCTACCTAGTTCCAGATTTTCCTGAGGTATTGTTATCCATTCAATGCTGATGAAGAATAAAGCCGTACAAATAAAATTCCACCCTCATGATGTATCAATAAGATATTTATTACATAGTCGTTTTGTCTCAAGGGACTTTTTTGTTTACCTAAAGATCGTCAGTAGGGATTCCTAAGAACTGGAAAAACGATATCCCGGGAACACCCTTGGCAGTTGTAATACGACTCTTGTCCAACTGCCTTCTTATGTTTTCTGTTGCTAACAGATGGGAGGAAAGACATAAATAACTTCTAGCATGGGATTCAGTTGTAATCTAGTAAAAAAAAACAAGAATCTTTAATACCTGCCGATAAATAAATGAACTTGTAAAAACATCAACTACGAAAAAAGGGGAATTCCCACATTATTTTGGCTCGCAAAGCAAAAACACACGTCTTTAAAAAAGCTGATGCTGTGTCAAATTAATATCTGCTTTATCATCCTTAAATGTCTATGTTTTCATTTTCCCCCTTTGTTTCTTGCTTTAGTTGGGAAGTGCAATTTCTATTGCGTTTAGGTATATAGAGAAAGAGAGACACCGAGAGAGACCAAGAGAGAGAGAGAGAGAGAGAGAGAGAGAGATAGAGAGAATTGACACCGGGGATGTCGATGTCGTTATCAAAACAAAACCAGACCGACTTTTAGAATCTAGGGCCCTGCTGCATTAAACCTGATATCAATAAAAAGCTTTAATAACAGTTATAAGCTACTGAACTCACTTGTTATCGAAATTTAAAACCTGTTATTGATGATGAGTTTCGTAAACCAGGGCCCAGGATGCTTTTCGTTTCGGAAATAAAATCTAAGCGGGATTTTTGCTACAGAATCAGAGAGTATTTTCAAAGTCAATATAACAAAGTTGTTAATACTTTTCTTTCTTACACTTAAAATGTTACAGGCAACATTGTTGAAGGGTAGTGACAAAACTGTGTAATTTGTGTATGAAATCTTACTTATTATATTCCTACTACCGTACTAACCGGATATCAAACAAAAATCCTGGACAAGTTCTCAAACCACAAAGATATTTTGTTTTCTATGAAGGCGTCACTGTGCGACAGCCTCTAACAGTAAATTCTCCCAGCCATGTTTTTGGATTTTCCCAACCATTTTCCATGAAAATAAGACATAAAGACAGGCTTTTAAAAATCTGTCAACACTTAAATGTTTGGAATGGTACAAATAGCCAGTTGATTGCCTAGTGAAGGTTTACATTCATCTAAAATGTAATTGAATTATAATAATATATGGGAGAATTCTGGAATCGATCACATCAGTTTTTCCCAGTTGTTATCATTGATAATGGCCTTTTTCACTCAAACTTTCAGATTTTCTTTAATTGTACATCTAGCATTGAAGTCTTTACCTAGGCACCATTTTCTCTCATCTGAACAATGTTACCAAATCCCTAGAATCATCCTGATGTGGCAACGCCTCTAAGAATGGGTATTTATCTATAATACTGCATCCCTAATCTACTGTTTTAAATGTATATAACTATTGCCTAAACGGGAATTTAAATGAAACTAATTTAACAAATTTCGTTGTAACGCCACCTATTTGTATTTAATTACTAATCAAACAATTATGACCCCATTAGTTTATTTGTACATCTAGATATGTAACCTCATGGCATGGCATGATGCCGAGTACGATCCACGGTAGATAGTTGCTAAGCAATCGGAAACAGATAG